ATGGATTAGTTGAAGTTGGACAATAACACCGTTGAGTGCTGGTCGCCTCAATGGTCTAGAGATTAAATTTTCGAGCACTTGACCAAAAGTCTTGGTTTCGAATCCTGCGAGTGCGATCGAGGAGTCTCATAGTGGTCTATCTTTAATTGACTCATGAATTCAACTATTAAAATACTGTATTATCCACAAGAACCTCACTCTGATATTAATCTATAGACATAATAAGCAAAGGTTCAATAAATCGTTATCACTTCTATTAATAGTTTGTGTCGAATTGGATCACAATCAATCTCTGATTATAATCGTTGAATTCATGAGTCAATTAAAGTTAGACCACCTGGAAGCACTGCATGGCCATTTCTTCCTAGGATAAGATTCATCAGTAGTGTACATTCATTAATTATTGATTATCCACTATTCCGCCCACCACGAGATTTCAACCCAGGACCTATCAGTCTCGCGCGCGAGCGCTTAACCTCTGGACCACTGAGCCAGCCGACATCCAACGGTGTTACCGTCTAACGTCAACCAATCCACGAAATTGCTCCACCTCTCCCTATTTTCTTCAGTGAGCTGATATCTCACAACAAACCTGGTTGAACTCCTCTGTTCACTGCTTCTTACTAGGACTCTAGGAAATGCATCTTGAAGTCAGTCACTAGTGAGAGAATGATTATTATCAGAAGGGGTTTTGTGGAGATTTTAGTAATTTCAATAGTTGAAATCATGAGTGGTTTAACGGTTGAGCGCTCGCGTGAGAGACTGAGAGGTTCTGGGTTCGAACCTTGTGAGGGGCGAGATTGTGTATGCGCATTACTGAGGAGTCCCAAACTAGGACGAAACGGCCATCTAATGCTTCCAGGTCTTCCATGATGATCTAGCTTCAATTAACTTGTGATCTCAACTATTGAAATTATTAAGTGGTTAATAATGAAGATTTCTTTTTAAATTATTTATTATTAGAACTAATGAAATAATTGATCTTTCAATAACTTATGTGTTTATATTCATTGAAAACTATCACTTGGTATAAGAATCATTGTAACTTAAATGTCACAATCCTAAATACTCAGCTAGTTTATTTTTCACCTATTTAATAAATAATTAGCTATGTCTTTACAAGTTTATGGAATTCTGTTAATAAGGGCACTTTATTATGTTCATTACATTAAATGAATTAAAGTCTAAGTGTAAGAAGTTTGATTATGATTGATATCCGAGCACTAAACCTATCTATCTTTCATACTATATTTCACTGATTAATAAGATGTATGTGTAGATATATGGAAATTAATACTTCGAATGACCACCTCATTTTGTATTGGTCGAGGTTCTAGGAATTTATATTTTCGTGCTCGTGAACACCTCCCAGCGTGATTAAACAAAGGTTTGATGACGGAAATGAACAGCTCGATATTGGCATATATAGTATAAACTGGTTTCAGTGCCAGTATAAAACCATTCTTTTCAATTATTTATAAGGTCAGTAATTTTTTGCCAAAACTTGTCAAACTTAAAGTCCTTCAAACGACTGAAACAGTTGCCATCCGGATGAAGAAACCGGAGCTATGCGTACAGAAGAAATATCTTCAGCCACTTAAAAACTCGTTTAATTGAGTTTCACAGTATTAGATAAATTACTGTTGGGTTATTTTGGATGCGACTGAATTATTTCAAGACTGAAGTGTTTGAACTAAACATTTACTTTTAAGTAACTTCTGTCATGTTTTTTTGTTAGATGGTTGAAAGTAGTCTTTAGGAAACCCTGGACTGGAGTCAGTAATACCTACCTACAACGCTGTAGTTACTGATACAACCTGTGTGATTCAAACTCTTTTCATCCAACATCGCAGCCTGAAATTGTCTACTTGGTAGTACTGACCGAGCAATATCCTCCAAGTGATAACTCGTCTCTTATGGTTACACTAAGTGACACAATTAGATTATTTCATGAAATACTATTTTTGTCATGAATAAAAATATAATTTACTGACATATCAACTACCATGAAACCTATATCGTTTAAGATGGTTTGTGTTGATTGTCTTTAAGTGCCTAAGATTAAACTATGTGCATCATCTTAGTAATTTATTTAGAATAGTGACCACAATGGAATTTGATCAACATATAGAATACTAGATAACCTGACATGACTTGAGCCTATGTCGGTATAATCCAAGGAATTATACATAGTATGATATTATAATGTAAGTACTCCTACGCACTCATTTAATAGAACCGCTTAATTATTGAACTTTTGAGTTGATGAGTTCTTTTTATACCAATAAAACTAATGACTTTTCATTAACCCATAATGTCAGTAACCATCAGCAATGATCATATTATCCTAAAGCGAGAATTACTTGGTAGGTTACATTCACAACAGGTTGACTTCATTTGGCATGCAACTGAGAATCAAGAGAGAATGGTTAGCCATTTAATCTTAGTGTGAGAATATATAGTATGAATGGATATCTACTACTTTACCTAGGTCAAGCACAGGATATTTTATTTTTGCGATAACGGCCTAATCGATTGGACATTTAAGATAATCTCCATTGAAACCTTTATTCTACACTATGCTGGTCAGATCACTAGTGACTTATATTGACATGAGCTTCCAGAGTTCTAACGAGATATTATGAAAAATGAAGTTCATACATGCCACTCTTCGCCAGTGGTGATTGTCAAGCTACATCGTGAATCAGTTGAAGTTGTAAATATATACAGTTTAAGACTATTATTATTATTGTTAGCTTTATTCAATATTATACTTTTGGTATAATATAAAATTATCAGCACAAAATATTTCAACGAGTTTCCGTTTCTTATTTCTTGATCGATCCTGACGATAAATATTGAGTGGTCACCAGTTAGATGTTAGTAGTTCATGAACCGACATCTGATTAATGTATGTTTTTTTTTCGATGCATATTGCCAGTAACCACGATGTCTCTAATTGGGCTTTTTCATAAGTTGTACAACGAAATGTCGTAAACTTTTCATGAACTCATCTGAATAGGTTATGAGATTCATAGGCAGGAACAAGTAGCCCAGATATTCAAGCAAGCCGCCATAGTATTTCAGTGGTTCTGATAGACGAACACTCATATCAATTCACAAATATCATGTGTTCGACCCCTGTTGATGTTAGTATATTCTGTTTAACAGTCTCATAGCATAAAAAACAACTAACTATTCCTCTTTGGTTTCCAATTATATCCTAACTAAGATCAATCACTGACAAGTTAAAGAGATCGCCACAAAACGTTTTCTTCTATATAGTCATCTCATTGATTCCAGTATTCATTATACTTATTTTCCAGATTAGGATGTCATTTTTCATTCGTAATAATTAAGACATTCTTCTTTCCCCAATATTCATTAAAACTAAGCATATTATTCAACTATCAGCTTTTATAACAAAGTTGAAATATCTATTAAGTTATTCAGTTGTAATAAACCTATTTTTAACTCTATTGATGAATCATGGTTAAAACTAGATATAAAAGTTGAATTCATGAGTTGATTAAAGCTAGACCAACATAAAAAATCTGGAAACACTTGTCGGCTATTTCGTCCCAGTATGGGATTCTTGAGCTGTGCTTATCCATTATCCTGCTCTCAGGACTCGAACCCATGACCTTTGGCCTTGCGCACGAACGCTTAACGTTTAGACCACTAAACTGGCATCCAACGGTGTGAATGTCTAATTCCAACCAATCCACTAAATAGCTTAAACAAGATCCAGATGAATCCAGCTGACATGCAACAGAAGTAGGATGACAATGTGTTCGATTGTTGGTCACAATTCATCTATTTTAAGAAAGATATTAAAACGATCTTAATTTTTCAACTGTTACTATTCCCGACCACATTTTTACAAGACTTTCTTGAAAAATACGATGATACTAAGTGAATATTTCGATACAGTGATCCATGATGCTTGATATGCAATGTTAATTTATTCATTATTAACGACTATCTGGACTCAATAGATCAATGAATAACACGTTGTCGTTTGAAAATGACAGACACTGGGTTCAAATCTCTGATATGAACATCAATGCTGTTATATTGGGACATTTAGCTGACGCGTCTCTAAAAGAACAAAATGAACACATTGGATTCCTTAGTTAACCACAGTTCAAATCGTTCAAAAGTTCAAATGAATAGGACAGTTTGATTGTTCACCTTTCAATAGGTGTTCATATGTAGATCATTCAAATGTTTATTATCGAAAGTGCTTGAACTATAGAGGTTTCAATATGGTATATAGAATTACAAAACTTTCAAATATTCTATTCAGATCAGTCAAATAGTCTAGTTTAGAGATTTTTACAGATGAATGACATAGGCTAAAGGTGATATGATGACTGCCAGATAATAAAGTTCCTAGGTCCGACATTATGTACGTGTGCACTATTAAGGGTCCCCTAAACAAAATGATATGATTCTCTAGGACATCTTAGTATTCTGTATAATTTCAAGTCATGAAGAAGAAAAAACTGGATTCATAGATAGATCATTGAGTAATGACCCATATCAAGTATTTTCTAATCCTTAGCGATGATTGGAATCTGTCTACTGTGAAACTGATTGACTCTGATTCCAATCAATCAGAAAACATCAGCACCATGAATAATCCATGTACACCTTGTAGGAACAGTCTCACCTATCACAAAACGTATATCCGGAGTTTCTTACCAATAACCTCCAACTACCAAACAGAATGTTAACTTCATATTTCTGTAGTCGGAGACCAAAGGTTCCGGGTTCGAGTCCCGCGTGTGAGATCGTGGATACACACTGTTAAGGTGTAGTATTACATGACTGCCCGATACTTCCAGATTTTCAATGGTGATTCAACTTAGACTGATTATCTTTCTTTTTTACAGAGATCATAGATGTTCTGTACATCTTTCAATATGTAAACCCTGATAATTATTTTTGAAAAACTTTAATCATTTGTAATGAATTCTTTTTCATTTCTAAAAATATCATGTCTCGTTACGCTTATTTTGTATCCATACCCTCTTTTTCTGATATGATTCAAAATGTTCCTTTTCTTCTTCTTCTTCTTCTTCTTCATCATCATCATCATCATCATCATCATCATCATCATCATCATCGAATTGATTCATTGATAATTCTCTCTTTTTTTTATTTTTGTCTTGTACACTCATTTACATTAATGTAATAGAGTTATGTAATTTTTAGAAACAAAATTGAACTAATTTCTATGAAGTTCATTATTGAATGGCGTCAAAGTTAGTAGCATTTACTTTAATTATTAAAACATATGAATAATAAATTCACTTGGTATTGTTTTTACTTGAATCTTCACATTGATGTTCAGGATTGCAATTGATCATTCTGTTATAGGAATATGTGCATTATGTGAGTACTGCCTCAATATTGACTTAAGTCAAAAGCTTTAGAAGCACAGATGGATAGTGGCTAGCAGCGGAATCCACTTCGTCCTAATTGACAAACGTCAACGGGATGTACATGCATCTCACAGTTGATGTTCACTCTGAGACTGATCAATTGTACTGCTAAATAACAATGGGAAGATTTAAGTAAAGTAATACCAAGTGAATTTAAACTTCATTCCGTTGCACAAGCAAGTGGTTATCAGGACTCAGTAGTTGAATGGATAACCCGATGGCATTTGAAGCAAACGGTACGGGCTTCGAGTCATATATTGAACATCAAATCAGATGTAGGTATATCCTAAATAGGAAGAAATTCGCGTCTTTGATTCCACTGCTAGCCACTATCCATCTTCGCCCACATCAATAATATACGAAATGAAATGATTTCAGATACATTAGTATATGCATATGAAATTTATTTATTCGTTACATTGTGTTTTCATCATAAGAGTTTCACAAAATACTATTTTCTGTTTGGTTAAATGGGACGCATCAACTGGATGCACCTGCATCTCAGATTTGATATTCACTCTGGGACTCGAGCCCAGTACCATTCGCTTTAAATGCCACCGCGTTCTCTACTTAACTATTGAGTCCAAATAGCCACCTGCTTGTGCAATAGAGTGAAGTTTAAATTCACTTGATATTGTTTACTTGAATCTTCTCATTGATGTTTATGACGACAATTGAATAACGCGATGACAGTTCAAGTGAACGGTACTGGGTTCAAGTCATAGAATGTACATCAACTCTGAGATGCAGGTACATCCAACTGACTAGTCCTAGATAAAACGAAGTGTCACCCGTCCTGAATTCTATCCATCTTTGTTTACAGTACTCAACGTTTAACACAAGTAATTTACAATTTATGTACTGACTATTCACTTTTCTTTCGTAATCTATAATACATAGAATACAAGAAGGAACAACTCGTTTGTATTCTTCAAAACTCTTTCTCATATTCCATAGAATGTTTATAATTTGTATTTACAAAGGTTTTCTCGAATATATAGATAGATATATGTCTCGCATGTTTTATTGTTGATAAACAAACTACATACTGTAATGATTAATTATTTGGGACTCGTCAACTGGATGTACCTTGTTTATTAACAGTTGTCTACGCAAAATACTTCAGATCCGTTGGTCAGACACTATCAACAACAATCTACTGTGGGAGAGAACAAACCAGATTGTAGTGGAGCAAGAAACCAGGAAGAGGCAGTAGAAATGGATAGGACACACATTGAGGAAAGCACCCAACTGCACCACAAGGCAAACCCTCACATGGAATCCTGAAGACCAAAGGAGAAGAGGAAGACCGAAGAACACATTACGCCGGGAAACGGAGACAGACATGAGAAAAATAAACAAGCATTGGATGGAATTAGAAGAGAAGGCCCAGGACAGAGTGGGTTGTAGAGTGCTGGTCGGCAGTCTATGCTCCATTAAGAGTAACAGGCGTAAGTAAGTAAGTAACTGGATGTATCTGCATATCAGATTTGATATTCACTCTGGAACTCGAACGCAGTACCATTTGCTTGAAACATCATCTCATATATTTTATTGTTGATAAACAAACTATAATGATTAATTTAAATCGATATCGGTAAAAAACAAAAATAAATTATTATGTAATGCATAACTATTATAATATAAAGTATATAAATTTACTTATAAATTGACGCCTATACCGCTTACATAATCAAAGATAAACATTAAAATGAACAACCAGCTACAACAACAAAATGATGGTGATGATGATGATGATGAATTTATTTCATAAGATGAAAGTGAGTTGTACTTTTTTATGCAGCAAAAAAAACAAAACAAAAGTGGATTAGGCGACATCAATAATATAGAAAGTGGTTAAACAATAAAGGAGTCCAGTGGTATCCAAAAAAAGGAATATGTAAAACTTGAGGAAAAGATTTAAAATTTGATTTTATCTAACAGCCATTAGAAACAAAATTGCCACAGAGACAACTAAACACATTGACTGTTTCATTTAATAGAATTAAATTATTAAACAGTATTGTTCAATGATGATAAAGGTCGGTAAAAACTACAACCCACGAAGGGATTTACAAATAATGTACATACATACGTTCAATTGAGATTGTTTTTAAAAAAATAATTATGTTAGATAGTGGTCTAATATCTAAGCGATTTAATCTAGTTAATTAGACTTACTTCCAAATAGATAGGCCTTATTCACTTGAAAATTTGACTGGCAAGTTTGATCATAATCGATTATGACTAATGTTATTGAAGATTTCAAAGATTTAGAACCATAGATTCTCATCTATCAACACTTTCCTTTAACTTATTGAGTTCTCAATGAGTTCCTCAAGTATAACGCAACTTACTTTTCATTCGATATTATAACAACTAATAATCATGATCTATAAAGCGATCTAAGTAAAAAGCTTAAATATTCAACGTTGACTAAATTGTAATAATGATTGAAAAATAAAACATAAGATTTTCCCGCTAACTTTTCGCATTTCTATTTCAATTTACATTTGTACAGAAGCTATTTTATGTGTAGATTGGAATGAATCTCAAAACTTAGGTCTCAGCTAAGAAATGCCAACCATACAGTTTGTATGACGTTATAAATCAAATGAGTATTTTCTTGATTATTAAAAGGTAAAGCTGATTTATGATTGTAAACTTACACTGTTACTCCTAGTCGACAATAGGCCACCGACCAGTATTCTACAACTCACCCTGTCATGGGATTTCCTTTCTACTTCTATTCAATTGTTGTTCATTTTTCTCATGTCCGTCTCCATTTCTCGGTGTAATGTGCTATTTGGTCTTCTTCCTCTCCTCTGGCATTCAGGATTCCATGTGAGGGTTTGCCTTGTGATGCATTTGGGTGCTATTCTCATTGTATGTTCTATTCACTTCTAGTGCTTCTTTCTGATTTCTTTCTCCGTTGGAATCTGGTTTGTTCTCTCCCATAGTAGATTGTTGCTAATAGTGTAGTGTCTGGGCAATGGATGTGAAGTATTTTACGTAGACAACTGTTAATAAACACTTGTATCCTCTAGATGATGGCTACCGTAGTTCTCCGAATTTCCACCTCATACAATAGAACTGTCTTGATATTTGTGTTGAAAATTCTGACTTTGATGTTGGTTGACAGACAATTGTTTTGAGTTCCACATGTTCTTCAATTGTAGCTATGCTGCTCTTGCTTCCATATCAGCATCAAATCCACTTCCAAAGCTTCTCCGTTAAGTGTGATTCGATTGGTGCATGTTGTGCTGTATCGGAGAATCTTGCTTTCACTATGTGTATATTGAGACCTACTGTTGCTACACTGGATGTTTTCTCCTGTATTTGTTATTGCGTTTGCGATAGAATAGCCAGATCATCTGCGAAGTCTAGATCCTCCAGCTGCATCCTAGTTGTCCACTGTAGCTTATGCTTCTCCCAAGATGTTGACGTCTTCATGATTCAGTCGATCGTCAGGAGAGATAGAAAGTGTGAGAGTAAGCAACCTTTTAAATGGTTTGAATTATTTTTTCTGGTTAGCGTTTTTTTAGCGAGGTAGTTTTCTACGGGATGGGGTCGCCAACATCCATGCCCGACCCTCGCTTTTTGTCCGGGTTAGGGACCAGCAGTAGCCCCTGAGGGGCTCCAGGCGGACTTATAATTCCAGTCTAATATACAATAAATGAGTCGATTCAAAGTCCTAGGACATTCCTTAAAATTACGTTTTATCTATTCAAAGTAAATGATTACTTTTATTAGTAAGAATATTAAGGAATATAAAAATAGTATGGTTAGGTCTTAAAGTTTAAGATTTAGGGTTTGAGTCGGTATTAGGATTAGAATACATCGTTGGAAATTTACCATCAATTTTTGAATTCAGATTGGTATTTAGGGTTAGGGTAAAGTCGTAAGATGAAAAGTTAGAAGTAGAATATAGGAAGTAACTGAGGAATATAAACCTAGACCTAAACTATAACCCTAAATATTAAACTCCCATCTTATTTCTAATCTTAAAGAATAACTCGTAGTTTTGACATTATAAATCATTTAGTCATATTTACTGTTTCTTGATGGGTTAAATAAGGTCAAGAAACTGTTAAGGTCATTTTAAATTGTTGCCTAGTCTCATTTGTATAAGACAATTTAACGTACTACATGTCAGTTACACTTTTAAGGTTGATGATTTGCGTTGATCAGTGCTAATTTCATGAATAAATGACGTAAACATTAAAATTACTTAGTTGAAATGCCGTGAAACATGGCCGGTAACAGTAGAGGAAGCAGTGAACAGCTGTTTCATTCTAGTATTGGACTCCTCAGAAATGCATATCCGCACTCTCGGCATCGTAAGTTAGACTCCTGTTTAGGTAATGGATGAGCAATAGTGAGAGGAAAATTCCATATTCGTTATAAGCTCTCTTTAGTAACATAAGTGATTACATCATAATCATGATGTTGATGACGATAATAATAGATTCAATGAAACGAATGAATATAAGTAGAACATATTGGGACACGAAGCAGATCTGATAAGATATGACTTTAAGATAAAAGGGAGTAGTAAACATTAGATAAAACTGCAAACTTATGAATTAAGGAAAATTCAGTAATACTCCGTATCACCGACGATTCTTTATCACAAGGAGGTATATATATATATATATATATATATATATATATATCAGTTTGATTATATAAATGATCTCACATGCTGAGCCATGATCAACCATATGCTGTATAGC